GCATCGGCAGGCGGACTCTCAACCACTGCGCCACCAGGGAAGCCCAAAACAACACTTTTTTCCTCTCTCCGGGGCCTCATTTCCTTTTCACATTATAGCTTAAATCTCCAGTGTTTAGGGGGTCAGTATCTGCAGTCTCCCCCAATATGGGTTGTATTGGGAATGTTATATTGAAAACAACTTTGATGCTGAAAGAAAGGAAAAGTATTACTTAGTAAAGTGTCGCCTATTTTCAAACGAAATCCTCTTCTTTTAGGGAACTCAGAAACAAAGAAGATATTCAATTTGGAGATAACGGAACAATATCTGCTGTGAGCAGCAAGGCCTATGTTTTTGAACGAGATAAATCTGTTGGAGACCCTAAAGTTGACTTACTTAGAACATTAAATATTCCTGCGCTGGTAAGTAGGCATTTTAAATCTCGTTATTGTGGATTTTAGAAGAAAGGAAAAAGCTAATATGGTTTTACCTTTAGGAGCTATTAAGTTATGTGTGTGTGTGTGTGTGTGTGTGTGTGTGTGTGTGTGTATACATATATATTTTTAAAAAATATTTATATATATATATGTGTGTGTGTGTGTATATATTTATATTTTCCCCCCTTCTTTAAAGTTCGTTTCAGACTTTTTTTGAGGTCTTTCAAATGTGGTCTTTTCAAATGGTGACAAAATGTAAGTTTTAGGATTTTTTTCACAGTTTCTTCCTGTGTGTTCACATGAGGCCCAGGAGACTTCTTCTGTCCCCTCTGAGGTTCCCACTCCAACTCCTGGGTGACCGCTACATATGCAGCTGGACACTTACGGTGGACCCAGGACCTGGAAAGTATTAGATCCCAGGTCTGGTCCTGCCCAGCTGGCTAGTGGGGCAGAGTTTATGGGGACCCAGCCTCTAACCCGGATCAGGAGGAAGATGGTGCCACCTTGTGGCTAAAGATGCCAATATATTGCAAGAGTTTTTCCCCTTCCGTGGTGTTGGGAGAGCTCGAGAGTTGTGGGTGAGGATGCTAAGATGACAGTTACAAAATGTAATACTGAGAAAGGACAATAAGTGAAGTCTTATTCTTCACACTCAGCCAGAGAGGAGCTCTTTGGTTAACCTCTCAGCTGTTTGATCTCAACGTTTTACATTTACGTTTGCAGCCCCCTTTGCTGAAGGGGCAGTAGGAGAGTGGGGTGGGGACACTGCTCTCTGAATGTGCCTGTGTTCCTCAGACCGCCATGGAATGGGCCCAGCTACCCTTTCTCCACGAGTTCATCGAGGCCCTGTTGAAGGCGTATCAGCAGAAGCTCTTTGTGACCCACACGGTGGATGAATTGCTCTGGGGCTACAAAGATGAGATCTTATCCCTCATCAATATTTTCAAACCTGACATCTCTCCCTATTTTGGCCTGTTCTATGGGGTAAGTCCATTTTTCTTTTCACAGATTCTTTGTTCAGCTGAGGAGGAGGGCATTCCAAGCCAGATTTTATCTTCACTTTGGGTTTCTTCTAGGAGAAGACCAAAGTTGCTTGGAATTCTAGATCTCTTGTGGAGTATGGGAAAAATAAGAAAGTGCTTTAGTAGGGAAAACAAACAAACTTCTCCCACAATTTTTTTTTTTTTTTGTGGTACGCGGGCCTCTCTCTCACTGCTGTGGCCTCTCCCGTTGCGGAGCACAGGCTCCGGACGCGCAGGCCCAGCGGCCATGGCTCACGGGCCCAGCCGCTCCGCGGCATGTGGGATCTTCCTGGACCGGGGCACGAACCCGTGTTCCCTGCATCGGCAGGCAGACTCTCAACCACTGCGCCACCAGGGAAGCCCATCCCACAATTTTAACATGCTACCAGTGCTGACTTTGAATGAGTGTCACTATGAAAAATATATAGAGTGTGCTGTGCCATTAATCGGGTGCAGCCTTTCAAAGTGTCATAAATTTCAGTGATCAATGCCGAGTCTTGTTTTGATGACTTGGAGACTAAACCCATGGATCAGTCTGACAGAGGCAAATAAGAAACTAAATAGGGATGTGATAGTCCATTAGGGGTGGGAGCTACTTATTAGATTTTTAGGCATTTGTGAAAGAGGCTGAATAATTTGAAACTCTGTGTGTCCCTCGTCTATGATTTCTTTTGTTTATAAGTGGAATTTTGTATCATTTTTGGCAGATTTTATTTACTTTGGCTTGAACCCCAAAATATCAGTATTCAAGTAATTATTATTCAAAGCATATGTTATTGCTGCCTGAGCTTCAAATGAATTAAAATGAAAAGCAATTAAAAATCTATCCACCACCCCCCCCCAAAAAAAAAAACTTGAGTAAAATGGATAGTTGGAAGGTTGCTAAATGATAAACTTAAACTCAAGAAGAGAGGTAGGTTCAGGACAGGATATGGAATTATGATGAATTTCCCCATCTTTAAATTTGTGGTTATTCTCTGGGTCTAACCACTGGAGAACCTCACCCTCATCATGTAATCTCTTAGCATTTCAGTTGCTTAGTTGTAATAATACTGCCCCTCTACCTTCAGGGATATATAAAACTTAAAAACTGTTCAAACGAAATGGTAAACAACTTTTAAATATTATCTTTGCAAGAGGAGGGTGGTCTTAGGAGTAGGGTCCCACCAACCCTAAATCCTTCACTCTGGGCAAGCAGACCCAACAGATGTTCCCTAGAAGCTTCCGACTCACAGGAGCCAGCTTCCACTGGACCAGAGGAAGCACCGATTTCTTGTTAAGCTGTGACTAGACTCCCTCCTAGAAATAAGTTCCGGGAAACTTCCTGCAGAAAGATACAAAGGTTTCCTTAAGCCCCCTTTGGTCCCAGTGGCTACCATCCATCTGTCAAGTAGATCCTGTTCCTAATATCTCAGTATTTATCTGATAACTTTCATTGTATAGCTTGCTTTTTGTTTTTACACTGACCTCATCAAACTTATATAACTAATATCCTTAAATACCTGTTAAAAATGTAACTCACATTTACAGACATTTAAAAATTGGCACTTTTGCTTTCCCGTGGCAAGGATGTGTGGTTTTACTTTATATTTTTTCCCTCTCTGCCTGTCCTTGCAAGCACCACTGTAGCTCTACAAGGCCCTGTTAGTGAAAAGCCCCGGCATTGCTCAGTTAGATTAGTACCTGGTGTAGATTTCCCACATGCAGGAAAAGAGCATGAGACTTAGACTCAGGGGGCCTGGATTTGCATTCTGACTTTCTCGCTTAATAGCTATGGGACTTTCCTGAACCTCAGCTTCATCATTTATAACTTGAGGCTAAAGGTATCTACACTTCAAAGTTTGCTTAGAATGGCCAAATGAGAGTCCACAAAAGTGCTTTGCAAACTATAAGTTGCAACACATTTTAGGAACCATTATTCTTTTTCCCCTCCATGACCGGCTCAAAATAAAGACCCTGAATTAATATGAATGACTGGTATATGTTTCCATTTGGGAGCCAAATAAACTGTCTCTAGTGTTGTTGGTAAAAAGGCAAAGGTGTTTTTTGTTCCGTTTTTCATCTGCTCTGGCCAATCCTGACTCTGTCTCCGGCAGCACAGAGGTCCATACTTGGGCCGTCATTCATTCAAGACCGGGACAGACCACGGGCTTCTGCACCTCACTGGCACCTCCTGCTCTGTACCCGTCTGAGCTCGGCCTCAAATCTTTCCTTAATCCCAGTGGCGTCTGCCACATTCCCCTCTGATCCCCTAGGCCTGTGTGCCCGTTCCACCTGCTCCAATACACGTTGTGATGAAAAAAGAAAACCTTAGTTAAGGCCGTTGAACACTTTTCCTTCAAAGACTTTAATGATGAAACAGCCAAACAATTAATGGTGCGGGACAGGGTGTGTGAGTGAGAAGGATGAGGTAATACAGACAGAGTGTTGGCACAGAGCTCCTGAGAACAAGGGACGTGGCTGGATATCAGGTGCTCTTATTTGCATACTGGAAAGCCAATCAGCAAATCTTTACCCGTTGATTTTAGGGTACCTCTGTTTTCCTTGGCATAAGAGCGTTCAAGCACCTCCCAGTGAGTGTGGGTTCTTGGAGGTCTAAAGCGATGGTGGCTGGGGAGTATCCTTGAGAGGTCAGCCAGTCCAGCCAATTGTACTGGGAGGATGGATTATGCATGTATTACGCTAGTGGTTTGAATGTTGTCTTATTCTCAGAACATTTCTCAACCTCAACCTCCAATATGTTCCTTGTATTCAACCCACAACCCTACTGCAATAACACAAAACCTATTTATTCCTGCTTGTTCTCAAGTAACAAAAGTTCTAGCAAGTAACAGGGAAGCATTGACATTCAGTGTCTGACTCTTGGGCCAGTAACAGCTGGGGAGAACTCTTGGACATACTCTGAAATATTTAAATGCTTAACCACTTAGCTTAACCCACATCTGAGTTCATTGGAGAACTTCAAGTAACACAAGCATTTTTAAAATTTGGTGGTTCTGCATTTTTTTATGTGAATTTGCTTCTAAATTGTCGTATGTTCATATTGTTGCCCTTAAAGAGGAGTCCTTTCTCATATCTTAAACTCATGTAAAATTTCATATGTGGAACACAACATGACTATTATGTATGTGGACCATGTTGATATATTGACATAGTTGGTGAAGTAGTGTTAAGTGACAAAAAGAAGAACCCAAGTAGGCAAAAAAATTGAAAAAAGAATTCACAAAAAGTGTGAATGTTTTTTTAAGGAAAATGACTGAATGAAAAAAGAGTGTGAATACAGAAATGCGAAAAGAGATAAGAAACCCCCTTTTTGTTGATCCAATAAGCAAAGTTTAACAAAAGGCGTTTGGGGAATGTAAACTGATTTATCTTGCTGTTTCCACTGGCTGACCTTGAGCAACTTGATACTATGTTTCAAAAGTTTAAAAAATGTTCATGTTGGGCTTCCCTGGTGGCGCAGTGGTTGAGAGTCCGCCTGCCGATGCAGGGGACACGGCTTCGTGCCCCGGTCTGGGAAGATCCCACATGCCGCGGAGCGGCTGGGCCCGTGAGCCATGGCCGCTGAGCCTGCGCGTCCGGAGCCTGTGCTCTGCAGCGGGAGAGGCCGCAGCAGTGCGAGGCCCGTACCGCAAAAAAAAAAAAAAAATGTTCATGTTATTTTATTTGCCAATTTCACTTGTAGTGGTCTATTTAGAAAATAAAACATGGAAAAAGTTTTTAGTCATAAAGATATTCATACATTATTTATAGTAGCAAAACAATTCAAAACTAAATATTCATAATAAGAAAATGGTTAAATTATTTCCACATAATATTGTGGAGTCATTAAGTTGTACCTAGGAAGAACTTTCGATAATACAGGAAATATATTATACACATAAGTAACGAAATTGTATATATGTATACACAATTGTATATATGTATAAAAATTGTGTATAACAGATACTATATGTGTATGTTATATATAATATATCTTGGTTCTATAAACAAATTTTGTGTAGAAAAAAGACTGAAAAGAAGCAGACCAAAATACTAAAAAATAAATACATGTATGTTGCTTCTTGAAGTCCTCCATTTAACTCAGATGTGGTCTAAACTAAGTGGTTAAGCATTTAAATGTTTCAGAGTAACCCATGCTATTTCCCAGAAATCAAAGCTCCATCCCAGATGAAGAACTTGTAAGAATGTACAGTGTGTCTGTCTGTGCCATTAAGAAGTGTAACTTGGAAAGAATATACAGCTCAAGAAAACTTTAATTGAAAAATGGGATTATATTAATACCACTTTTTTTCTATTCAAGTATAATTGGGTCCTGGCCCTAGATTTATGCTTTTTTATTTTTTAATTGAGATATAATTCTCTTAACATAAAATTCACCATTTAAAAGTGTACACTTCAGTGTTTTTTAGTATATTCACAAGGGTGTGCAACCACCAGCACTTTACAATTCCAGAGCATTTTAATCAGCCCCTCCCCCCCCCAAAAAAACACAACTTGTTAGCAGTCATTTCCATTCCCCCTCCCACCAGCTCCTGGTAGCCACAAATCTACTTTCTATCTCTATGGATTTGCCTATTCTGGACATCCCTATAAATGGAATGAAATTCACATGAAATCATATAATATATGATCTTTTGTGTCTCGCCTCTTTTATTTAGTATAATGTTTAGAAGATTCATCCATGTTGTAGCATGTATCAGCACTTCATTCCTTTTTACGGCTGAGTAATATTCCATTGTATGGATATACCACACTTTGTTTATCCATTCTTCAGTTGATGAATATTTGGTTTATTTCTACTTTCTGGCTACTATGAATAATGCTGCAAATGGACATTTGTGTACCAGTTTTTGTATGACCATTAGATATAAACCTTGGAGCGGAATTCTCTTGGGTATATCCATAGGAGTAGAATTTTGGAGTCATCTGGCAACATTATGTTTAACTTTTTGAGGAACTGCCAAACTGTATTCCACAGCAACTGCAACATTTTACATTCCTACCAGCAATGCAGGAAGGCTCTAGTTTCTCCACATCTTCACTAACAATTGTTCTTTTCCTTTTTTTTTTAAATTGCCATCCTCATGGGTATGAAGTTGTATCTCATTGTGGTTTTGATTTGCATTTTTCTAATAACTGACAATATTGAGCATCTTTTCATGTACTTATTGGCTATTTGTATATTTTCTTTGGAGAAATGTCTCTTCAAATCTTTTGTCCATTATTTAATTGGGCTCATACTTTTTAAAACCATAAAGTAATAATATGGCGAATATGGGATTTAACAAAATAGTTCCTCTATTCCCTAGTTGTGGTTCAGTCTCATGAGGCAATTAGGCCCAACTAGGGCAGTTTCATACAGATTAAATGTGTTAGTTACCGTATCAGTTAGGGTTGTCTAGAAAGACACAATCAATGGAGATCTATATATCTGTTCAGGAATTTATATTAAGGAATTGTCTTATGCACTTGTGGGTCCTGGCAAGTGGCAAGTCTGAAATCCATAGGACAGGCCAGCAGGCTGGAAACCCAGGCAGGATTTCTATGTTTCAGTCTTGAGGAGAGAACTCCTTTTTCTCCAGGAAACCTAAACTTTGCTTTTAAAGGCTTCAACTGATTGAATGAGCCCACCCACATTATCAACAGTAATCTCCTTTACTGAAACCGAACTGATCACATCTACAAAATACAGCAACATCTAGAGTATTGTTTGACCAAACAGCTGGCCACCATAGCCTAACCAAGTAAACACATGAAATGAACCATCACAGTTACTATAAATGACCATATTCACTTATTTTCAGAAAAATGGGACTAATGATGGAGACTATGTTTTTCTAACTGGAGAAGACAATTACCTTAACTTTTGCAAGATTGTGGAATGGAATGGAAAAACGTAAGTCTAATGATTTATTGGTGTAATTATTTTTTCAATTTTCATTTAATTGAACGTCCACTTCTGCTTTATTTCAAAGAAGTTTAGCACTATCATTTTCTGGATGAAAAACCTATAAATTTAAAAAATCTATAATTATGTAAAATATCCTATAATATAAATAATATAGTGTAAATATGTAAAATTATTATCTTGTAAATCAAGATTGGGAATCACAAGCCAATGAAAAGTTTTGCTCTTCCGCTAAGTCATTGAATGATATGTAGCTGCAGCGCAAATACTTCTCAAATCACTGCTTGTTTTGGGGGAAGGAGAGAGGTTCTTTTTTTTTTATTTAATTTAGTGATTCTGCATTGTTTGTGTATTTTTTTTAAGATGAAATACATTTGAGTTCAGCATTATAGCATTTCAAAATATTTTTAATGTTTATAATTTATAAACAAACTACCTCCAAATAGGGACTGAGGCAGCTTGCAATAAAGCCACACATAAAGCAGAATGACTTTTTTAAGTCATAGAAATTAGGAATCTTCGAGAGAAAAGGAGGCTAATTCTTCAGGAACTATGGTAAAAGGGATTTTGTTCTTGAACATTAAATTTACTTCTCAGCTTCCCAGAAATACAGGCAAAAAAACTGGCGTGGAATATTATCTGCACAACTTTTCTGTAAAGCAAAAACTGTTTTTAAATTTTAAGTTTATTTAAATTTTTTTAAACACACATATCCAGGTACATACACATACATTTGCACATGCATGAGGGAGCTCATGCGTGCACATACACACATTCCCAAGGATATAAGAACCCTAAAAGAATATGAGAAACTGGCAACAGTATTGCCTTTGGAGGGTTAACTAGATGACTGGGTACTGAGCTGGGGGGGAGATTTACTTGTAAACAGAATATAGCTGGATTTTGTTTTAAACCCAACCTGTTATTTTCTTTCCATATTTTCTTTCTCCTTTTAATAGGAGAGTTTAATCCTTTTATATACATGTTGTAATTACTGATACATTTACGATATAATGATATATTATTTGATATATTGAGACCCATTTCGACATTATTTTTCACCCTTAGCTGGTTTATATCTATTCTACCCTTTGATTGTCTTTAACAATTTTTTTTCTAACAGAATCTAAAGCTATCTATTATCTCTCTTCTTCAAATGAGACAATAACTTTACCCATTTCTTAATACCCACACCTTCTATGTTATTCTTGTCTACAACTTGTTTCACCTTCTTCGGAAGCCAAATATAAGTAAAATCTCATTATTTTTATAGTGAATACTTAAATATACCAACAGATTTTATTAATGTATTATTATTTTTCCTTCTCACATCTTCCCCTTGGATTTAGTTTTCTTCTTGCTGAAGGTCATTAGTACAGTCGTTCTTAAACGGGCAATTTCGCTCTCTAGAGGACATTTGGTGATGCCTGGACACATTTTTGGTTGTCACAACTGGAGGTTGCTACTGGCATCTACTGGGTGGAGACCTGGGATGCTGTTAAACATCCTGCAGTGTACGGAAGAGTCCCCCACAAAGAATTAATCAGGCTCAAAATGTTACTAGGTTGGGAAACACTCTATTAGTAGTCCCTTCGGTGAGGATCCGTGGGTGGTAAACTTTCTTAGACTTTGCATATTTAAAAATATCTTTATTGCACTTTCAGCTGTTAATGGTTTTAGTTGGGTATAGAATTCTAGGTTGACAGTTCAGAATTATGAAGATGTTACTCCATTGGCTTTTGATATCTATCTTCTTCCTTGGCCTTTTGCAGTTTTACTGCAACATATCTAGATTTGAATTTATTTTATTCTATTTGGCCCTTGGGGCATACTTTCAATCCAAGGTCTCGTATCTTTCTTAAATTTTGGAAAACTTTCAGCCATTATCTCTTAAATTATTGCTTCTCTGTTATTCACTCTATTCTCACTACCCTCCCACAAACTCCTATTAAATATTTATTGGAGCCTCTTGATATATTCTCTGTATCTTGATCCTTTAATTTTTAATCTTTCTGAGTTTATATTTGTATAAATTCCTTAGAGCAATCTTTCAGTTAGCCAGTTCTTTCCAACTACCTACCGTCTAGAGCTTATCCCTATATGGAGTTTTTCTTTCAGAAAACTTTTTTATTCTGTTTTTATTCTGAAGGTTTCTATTTTTCATTCTTTGGGTCTCTCTACTCTTATCTCATTCTTTTTTGTTTGTTTTTAATAATTTACCATTCTTTTTTAACAGATGTTATTCTTCCATTTGTCTCTTTGAGGATACTAAACAACATATTTATTAGCCAGATTGTTCAATTATTTTAATTTCTTCTCAGGTGAATTCATCTTATTGTTGATTTTGTTGCCTATCTCTTAGTATAAGTTTCTTTCATTAAAAAAAATGTTGACTTGCAGAATAATTATTTGGGAAGTCTGTCTGTTATCTATCTATCCATCCATCCATTCTACCATCCATCCATCCTCTCACCTCTCCCTAGGTAACACTTTTGCAGTTGCCTCCATGTAGCCTACCTAGGAACCCCAACACCAGTACACATGGTGGGTCTCCACCTCACGATTACCCAGGGTTCATCACAGATCTGGCCAAAGAGTCAGCAGGCAGCTTGACTCAGGTTCTGGATGTGAAGCTGTGCCTGGGGCTTTCTGCCTCCCAGCAACTCAGCCTTGCTTTCTTCAGCCTCTCTCGCTGGCCAGAAAATCCCTGCCCCCAGATCCTGGTTTCACACCCTTGCTGGACCACTTTAACCTTTAACATTAACCTCAGGAGCTAGACTTGCAGATCTTTCTCCTGGCTTCCAGACCTGCAGCCCAATGGGCCGGCAGTTGTAGCCCTACTCACAACTTGGCAGTTATCACCTTTCATTGTCTAGGGAGATGTTCTTCTGTGTTTGAGTAGGGTATAGACCTTTTAAATGTTCTCTTTTTTGTTCTGTCAACCACTGCACTGGAAGATGTCCTCAATTCACGAACTTAGAAGGCCACCTTGACCAGAAGTTAGAAGAATTACTATTTATTGCCTGTCCTTTCCTGTCTTTTGCATTTTATACCATTTTTCGAGGAATTAATTTTTAAAAACCCGCCATCTCAACTGTGCTCTCAGTGAGCGTAAAGTTGATTCAAGGTTAAACTTTCTTGTGACCCAAAAGAAATCCTCCCTTAGCTGTTTGGAGGGGGAGACAGTTAATGCTCTGTCACAAATATTATCTCCCTGCAATATCTGTCCAGGGCTCATCTGTCCACGGGCTGGCTGTGAACAAAGCTACTGTAAATGCCAAATGGATCACTGCTTTAAGTAAGTGCATATTCCCAGACCTGTACATGAGATACTCTGTCTTAGAGGAAGGGAAGGATTTTTGGCTGTTGCCTCTGTCAGAATTGATTGGGGATCGGGGGCCTGCTTTTCCGCCTCTTGATCCAGTCCCCAACCAATACCACCCTTGTGTCTGCGTGTGAATAAGATTCTATGGGTAGCCAGCTCCCAGTTGAGTCTTGAAAAGTCCTGACCATTAAAGAAAATAAAAAAGACCAAAATCAAGTGTGACCCTCTGGACTCTTTCTTGTCTCCCAATGACAGGTCACTTGACTGGTGGACAGCAGACGAGTGCAATATGATCAACGGAACAGACGGAGATTCTTTTCACCCATTAATCACCAAAGACGAAGTCCTTTATGTCTTCCCATCTGATTTTTGCAGGTAAGAACCTGAAAAATAAATTCTTTGACTGTAAGACCACCAAAACTGTGAGGAATTATATATAGTTGCACTTATTCGGTGAGGATATGTATGCTTAGTGAGTGATCAGCGATGATGGCATATTGAGAAACAGCAAAGTGTAGTGGCTCACAGCACTAACTCCAGAGCCCGGCTGTGTTGGTTTGAATACCAGCTCCACCACTTACAGCTGTGTGACCCTGGGAACATTATTTAACCACTCTGTACCTAACTTTCTGCGTTTGTGAAATAAGGATAGAAAGAGTTGCCTACCTTGGGAGTTGTTTTGAGGACAAACAAGTTACTTTAATAAAATACTCAGCCCAGGGCCTGTCACACTGTCAATAACATTAAATGTTAGCTCTTTGTTATTATGGTATGCTCTGTCAGGTGTGAAATTTGCCCTGGTCTTCTTCCGGTCAACAGGTGGTCGCTCCATAGAAGGTAAAGAAAGCATACTGCAGTCCGTATTTCAGAGTTCTTAGGTCTTTGCTGAGCTCTAACCTTCCCGTTGATCCCATCTGCTCACACGTGGCCTGCAACCTCTCCCTGGCTCCCACCTGCTATTTCTGTCCAGACCCGCATGATGAAGTCCCCTCTGTGGCAGGAAGGCCTCCTGCTTTGTGACCTGATTCCCAGCTCCCCATCATCCCTGCTGTTTCTCCTGCCCTTCACCCTAAAACTGCTCAGCTGAGAGGCTGATCACACAGCCTCCCTTTCCTCTCCCACTCACTCCTGCAAGTCTTTTTGTGAGACTTCTCCTCCATCAGAAGTAATCTAGTTGGGGCTTCCCAGGTGGCGCAGCGGTTGAGAGTCTGCCTGCTGATGCAGGGGACACAGGTTCGTGCCCCGGTCCGGGAAGATCCCACGTGCCGTGGAGCGGCTGGGCCCATGAGCCATGGCCGCTGAGCCTGCGCGTCCAGAGCCTGTGCTCTGCAACGGGAGAGACCACAATCAGTGAGAGGCCCGCGTACCGAAAAAAAAAAAAAAAAAGAATTAATCTAGTTGCCTTTGATGCTATGGAGTCAATATTCTCAAGGTCAGCTGTTCTTCTGGCTTTCATATCTCACACAACTGAGCACCTCCTCAGTCAGCCCTTCCAGAATCACTATAAATCTCCCTCTTCCCTTGCACTGAATCAGTCACCAAGTGGGATCCATCCTCCTCAGAAAGAGCTCTCCTTTCACTCCATCCCTGCTCTCTGTGCCATGGTGCAGACCCTTTCCAGCTTTCACGTGGAATATCTCAGTCACCTTCCATCCAGCTGCTCCCTTCAGTCAATATTTGTGAAAGGACTGAAGGAAGAGAAAATATGTTTGAGCACAATGGGTGAGACAAAGAAACTTCAGAGGGTAGTAGGAGGCTTATTAAAGATATGGCACAGAGGAAACTCATTCTTGTTTGGTACCACTACTTCTGAAGAGCCACTTGGCAATGCTTAGTAAAGCCAAAGACGTGCAAACCCCATGATTCCGCACTTCTCTCCTATGAAGGTTCCCTGACCTAAAACTCGTGTACATACATGAAGGAGATTTATACAGAAAAGTTCACTGCAACATGGATTGTAGTTAGGAAAAATTGGAAGTGTCAACGGAAATAATAAAGAATCTATAATAGGATTAGAAAAGAGTTTTATTTGAGCCAAACTGAGGACTGTAGCCTAGGAGACACTGATTCAAGGAGCACTTGAATTGTGTTTTATCAGACTACAAAACGGGGGAGACGTACAAAGGCAAAAACCTCAAGGTTGCAGTTAGTTACGTGAGTTGTTTATCAAGAATTATAACTGGAGCTGGCAAGAAGTAAGAGTTCTTGTTAAGCCAGGATTGGTTGGGATCTGAAATGGTTGCATAGTTACAAGGGGAGACCTTGAGACCATAAGGTTGCAGCTGGCCACTGGGAGCAGATACTGTTTTGAGAACGGCTAGTGGTGTCCTTGAGTCTGATGCAGTTCAGAAAATTTATGTTCACAGTGATGCAGGAATGTGTCTGAAACCACATCCACAATGGCCACCCGGCTCCATCCTGAATGTGACCCACAATTACTCCATTTTGATTTTTAAAAGCATTCTTTACTTTAATGGTTAAAGCAGATGTACAATGAGTGTTTGACAGGCTATGAGAGAGGCTGTTCCCATTAGCATAAAGTTTAAGTTAAATCATGTGTAAGCCAGAATAACTTCCCCATATCTCAATATATGAAAATTTCTTCCATCCAAAGAAATCTAAGTGCCTGTGAAAAGGAAAATATAAATAAATAATGAGGCTTCCCTGGTGGCGCAGTGGTTAGGATTCTGCCTGCCAGTGCAGGGGACATGGGTTTGAGCCCTGGTCCAGGAAGATCCCACATGCCACAGCACAACTAAGCCCGTGCGCCACAACTACTGAGCCTGGGCTCTATAGCCGCGAGCCACAGCTACTGAGCCCACGTGCTGCAACTACTGAAGCCCGCGCACTAGAGCCCGTGCTCCGCAACAAGAGAAGCCACCACAATGAGAAGCCCGTGCAACGCAATGAAGAGCAGCCCCAGCTCTCCGCAATTGGAAGAAAGCCTGTGCCCAGCAGCGAAGACCCATCGCAGCCAAAAATTAAACCAAACAAACAAAAAGTTTAAAAATAAATAAATAAATAAATAATGGGGTATTTGTTTGATAGAATATCATATTAAAAGTAAAATATAGGGGCTTCCCTGGTGGCGCAGTGGTTGAGAGTCCACCTGCCGATGCAGGGGACACGGGTTCGTGCCCCAGTCCGGGAAGATCCCACATGCCGCGGAGTGGCTGGGCCCATGAGCCATGGCCACTGAGCCTGTGCGTCCGGAGCCTGTGCTCTGCAATGGGAGAGGCCACAACAGTGAGAGGCCCACGTACTGCAAAAAAACAAACAAACGGTAAAATATAATAACCAGAGCCATGTACATTAATGCAATAAATCTTAAAAATATAATGAAGGAAGAAGCAAATTGTAAAAGAGAATATGGTATACTGTTTATATAACATTTAGAAATAACAAACAGTGCCACAAGTTGTTTATGAATATCCACATAGGTGAAAGTATAAAGACCTGCATGGGAATGATAAACCCCAAATTCAGGATAGCGGTTACCTCTGGGGATGCAGAGGACTACAATCAGGAGTGTTACGCAGAGAGCTCCAGTTGTATCCGTAAATATACATTTTATTTATCTAAGTGGTATTTGTTATAAAAGGTACTTACTATAGTATTTTCTCTGTTTTTCTGTTTGCTTAAAATTTTCATGAAAAAGTGCTATGGGGTGGGATGTGCAGTGGAAGGCAACTCCTGTAAGTCACAACCCAGGGAGAGATGTGTGCCCCCTGTGCTTCAGAGATGAAAAAGTGAGGCCCCCAAAGCAGTTCCCCTCAGCCTTCAGATGCCTTCAGATGCAGGGCTGAAGGATCAGTTACCACAGTGTATGTGAAAAGTGCCTTGGCTGTCACTCAGGTGCTGTGCACATAGAAGGGTGGTTGGTATCATAAGGGACCACTGTTTGAAACGCTGTAACCACTGAAGGCAGAATGATGTTGAACACCATCGAAATAAGCAACCTAGGCAAAATACGGAAACTATTTTTATTTGGGGGAAATGGGTATCAAAGTATATATTCTAGGGCTTCCCTGGTGGCGCGGTGGTTGAGAGTCCGCCTGCCGATGCAGGGGACACGGGTTCGTGCCCGGTCCGGGAGGATCCCACATGCCGCGGAGCGGCTGGGCCCGTGAGCCATGGCCGCTGAGCCTGCGCATCCGGAGCCTGTGCTCCGGAACGGGAGAGGCCACGGCAGTGAGAGGCCCGCGTACCCCCCAAAAAAAAAAAAGTATATATTCTAATCAAGTATCTGTCTAATGGGGCACTTTTCCAGGCCTGCAGAATCTACCGGGCCACACCCTTTGCCAACTCTTCGGCTTTTGCTTTGCCTCTGCCTCACCCTGGCATGTGTCCATGCTAGTCTAGGCGACTCATTTCTTTCAGCACAAATATCCATTCTAACTCATTTTCTTGATTTTCTACCACACGTTATGTTTTGTTCTAAGCCTTGTTAAGATGTTAGCATAGCTGCTGCCTCTTAAACATCTTTCATTATAATCTGTCTCCTACTTTATTACACATTCAATGGGTTGAGCTCCTTTCAAGCTTTCTTTTGCCTCTTCGTTTTCCACTTATCCTGTAAGCTTTTAGCCACGTTATACCCAAGAACGGTTGGCTAACTCACTGGTACAGGCAGATCATGCTGATGGGAGCTCACATTGACTTTTTATTCTTACCTCCTAACAGGTCAGTATATATAACTTTCAGTGACTTTGAGAGCGTGCAGGGACTGCCTGCCCTGAGGTTTAAGGTGCCTGCAGAAATATTAGCCAATACCTCAGACAACGCTGGCTTCTGTATACCTAAAGGAAACTGCCTGGGCTCAGGAGTTTTGAATGTCAGCGTCTGCAAGAACGGTAAGAACTCAGAGAGGGGACATGGGCAGGAGGGTCTGGATGCAGGATTGGTGTTCTTCAACAGAGAATGTTGTCAGCCCAATAGAAAGAGCGATTTTGACCTTTCAAGAATAACATTTTGGGGCTTCCCTGGTGGCGCAGTGGTTGAGAGTCCGCCTGCCGATGCAGGGGACATGGGTTCGTGCCCCGGTCCGGGAAGATCCCACATGCCGCGGAGCGGCTGGGCCCGTGAGCCATGGCCGCTGAGCCTGTGCGTCCGGAGCCTGTGCTCCACAATGGGAGAGGAGAGGCCACAACAGTGAGAGGCCTGCGTACCAAAAAAAAAAAGAATAACATTTTGTCAGAAATAGACTCACAGACATAGAAAACAGACTTATGGTTACCAAGGGAGAAAGCAGAGGGTATAAATTAGGAGTTTGGGATTAGCAGATACAAATTACTATATATAAAATAAAATAGAACAAGGTCCTACTGTATAGCACAGGAAACTATATTCAGTATCTTGTAATAACCTATAAAGGAAGAAAATCTGAAAAAAGAATATATATATATATATATATATATAACTGAATCACTTTGCTGTACACCAGAAACGAACACAGCATTGTAAATCAACTGCAATTAAAAAAAAAAAGTTTTGTAACATGGCTATAGCATAGTTTTTTTTTTAAAAAAAGCATTGGCTTTCCTGTAATGATTTTTATTCCTAGATTGCCATGTTATGTTTTTCCTGGGCAGTAGTTTAAGAGTTTGTTTTTCTTTTTTCTTGAAACCGGTCCAGGGCCAGTGTTTCTTAATGTCTGAGCTAATGTGCTCCTTTCCGTGAATGAGGTGGAATGATCAGGGGTGCAGCTGACAGAAGCATTTTTTTCATCACGAGGACTAGTTTTTACAGTCACATGCTGCATAATATTCACAATAGCCTTGCCAGATTGACAGCCAGTAGCCTCTGTTCATAACTGTGGAAACCAGGGCTCAGAGAAGGAATGGGATTTTTATAAAATCCTTACCTCTGAGCAAGTTCCTGCTAGAACTTAGGGTCTTCTCATATTTGTACTGCGATCTTTCTGAGGCTACAATTCTTGTTTAAAGTTTCTCTTGAGAAACTCTGTAACTCCTTTCTCTTGATTAAAGTTGTACTTTTTTCCTGAATAATGTGCTAACTTTTGCCCCCTTGTCCATTTTGTTTGAAAATCTCCTTTTGGGATAACCCTCCCTTTCCTTGTCTGATGGGGTCATGGCTCCCAAGCCTGACCTCAGAACTGTCTGGAGAATCATTAAAACATCTGTCCCAGGGCCCACCTGCTAGCACCCCAGAATCTGTAGTTTTAATGAACTTCAGGTGATTCTCATGAAGCTGGTACCTGCGAGATTGGGAACCGCTGTTCTGGGGAACACACACCCCTGACCTAGAGATCAGACCTCTCCTGCTGGCTCACTGGGGGATGGTCCTGAAATGGCACCTGCCCTATCAGCCCATGTTTCTGTGGTTCAAGGCACACATGTAGACACATTTTTCTTGTTGTTTTGTTAACAGTCTGCTTCCTCAAGAAGTTGATGTCAGAACCAACAGAAGGATTCTACTTTGCAACAGTCATACCTCTTGCTATAATCCTTTTCCTCTTGCCTGTTCTGTGTTCCCAGCTGTGGACTGAAATATTACCCTTCAGGACTATCCTCAAGTGTTTTGCATTCCCCAGGGGAACATTCTGGCTGGTGGGATGAGTGAGCGTTCTGGAGTCAGGGGGATCTGGGATTGACTTCTGTTTGTTAGCAAATTGGCCACGTTGCTGAAGGAGGGTTCCAGACAGCAGTTTTCTCATCTGTAAAATGGGGGGGGGGTGGTGATTATAACTTCCTTGGAGGGTTGTGTGAAGGTTAGAGATAATGTATGTAAAACACTCAGGACAGTGTCTGGCCCTTATTAAGTCCTTAACAGATCTTTAAAAATACATTTTAAAGGTCAGTGTAGGAAATTCCCTGGCGGTCCAGTGGTTAGGACTCTGCCCACTCACTGCTGAGGGCCTGGGTTCCATCCCTGGTCAGGGAGCTAAGATCTCACAAGCCACGTGGTGCAGCCAAAAAAATAAATAAATAAAGGTCAGTGTAGGTCACAAAGAAGGACATCGTGTCTTCGTGAAACTGTGTAGCTGCAGAGAGCAGAACTGTGTGTGTGGCAAGGGAGGTGTCTGAGCCATGGGCTGGAGGATATGTGAGCAGACTTAAACTACTCGCCGTTAAGCTAATTTCTCCCAAAATGTATTTTCCTGACAGCAGTTACTGAGTCCCTCTCCTCTTTTCAAGAGCAAAATCTATCAATAGAATAGGTTTCCTTTAATAACTTGCTTCTCTATTGCTTCCTTAAAATGAATAGGAAATTTTTAAAAAAAAAAAAAAACCAGTGTCTTCCTGTGGGCAGACCTTGATCTAGTCAAGAGGCTGCAGATGGCAGGACCAGGCAAAGTCTTAAAAAAATTCTGCATTGGGAATTCCCTGGCGGTCCAGTGGTTAGGGCTCCGCACGTTCACTGCTGAGGGCCGGGGTTCAGTCCCTGGTCGGGGAACTAGGATGCCGCAAGATGCCTATTTTGGGTAAAACGTAAACAGGAAAGCAGGAAAATAAGGGGGAAAAAAGTCCATGTACTGGTAGAGAATTACAGTTGAAACGAGTGCTTTAAAATGAGTCGTCCCTAGGGCTTCCCTGGTGGCGCAGTGGTTGAGAGTCCGCCTGCCGATGCAGGGGACACGGGTTCATGCCCCGGTCCGGGAAGATCCCACATGCCGCGGAGCGGCTGGGCCTGTGAGCCATGGCCGCTGAGCCTGCGCGTCCGGAGCCTGTGCTCCGCAACGGGAGAGGCCACGACAGTGAGAGGCCCGCGTACCGCAAAAAAAAAAAAAAAAAAAAAAAGTAAAATGAGTCGTCCCTTATTTGATCAGAATTCTGCCTCCATCACCTGAAAGCTTGGGGAAATTTTATAACTTCTCTGAACCTCCCTTTCCTCAAATGCAAAAGGAAGGAAATAGTTCTAACTTCATAGGACTGCTGGGAGCGTTAATTAAAAGAATGTGTGTAAAGCATTTGTCTATTATAGGTTCAGCAAATGTTTGTTGAAGAATAAATGATTTAGCCAGGACTTCATTTAGCCTGGCTTCATGATATGAAGCCAGGACTTCATATTATGATATAAAATAATGTAGGGGTAAATGAGATGTCAGAAGATGAAGTATAAATCCCTAGCTAAGAGGTATAGAATATACTTTTAGCCTGCCCCTCTCCCCAACCCAACTTTTCTGTGTATAGCTTTCCCCCTACTGAGGAACTGGATTTGTGGTCAGGAACTTTATATTCATCTTAGACTTTTAAGAACCTCACCATTCATTTCTGTTTTCCTCAAAATGCAGGTGCACCTATTATTATGTCTTTCCCACACTTCTACCAAGCAGATGAGAAGTTTGTTTCTGCCATAGAAGGCATGCACCCAAATAAGGACTATCATGAAACATTTGTGGACATTAATCCTGTGAGTACACACGTCTTCTTGGTTAAAAAACATACATTTTATTCTGTCTATACGGTGTTCACCAGCTTAGCCCTGGGTACTCTTGAGAAGTGTATTGTCTTCCTTCCATTCACATATTCAAGTGGAGGGAGCTCAGCTCAGTGTGATGTGATGTAGAGTCTCACAGCCCTGTAATTAGAAGGCTGAGTTGTATTGAGCTAATACGCAGAAATATCGGCAAACCCACTTTAACAAAAAAGCAACAGTGAAAGTCCCATCATTGGAAACAACTGGAATCGGACCCAGGTAACCTGGTCAGTCTTCTGTTGCCAAAAGACTGGACCTGAACATACACACATTCCTCTCACTGGGCCACAGATGAGCAGGGTGAAGACATTCCTCTGCTTACTCGCTGCCAGGAACGTTTTGGTTGAAATCTAAATGTATATATATTAGCTTCAGTCACTTTTGGCAAAACTCTTTATACAGGTGCTTTTGAGAGTTATTATATGACATCATTAATTTAAAAAGCATCAAATATATACATACTCTAATCCCGTATTCATAGAGGAGAAAACCTAAAAACCATGTTGAGAGGATGTATCATTTCACAATGTGAGAACCTTTCACTATAGGGACTGAATTAAAGGTGAGATATCTTCATTCTTGGGATTTTGAGCACATGCATGAAACAGTCACAGAAGAGCCAGCACATTCTTTGAGCACAGCGACTTATGGGCATTTCACCCTTAGCTACACTCATTGCATTTATATTTGAGAAATCGGTGCTCTTATCGTTTTGTGAATAAGGTCAGGTGTGGTTTTCTCCCTTTTCTCTCTTAGCCATCAGTCAGTTCCTTTTCAGTAGCCAAACTGCTTGTCACCAGGGTGAGGCACAACCCCACCCATTTGGTGCAGAAGGTGGCGTGGCCATGGGAGGACAATGCTGTGTCTGTCCTCCGGGCTCTGTTGGGTGGGCCTGGCCACACGTGGGCACCATTCTCTGGCTGTCACCATGTCTTCCTTGTAGCACTCTGGCCCTCCGCCTGGAAACCCAGAGCCGACAGGGTATCTGCTGGATCTCCTTCCTGCCCGGGTCCTCTAGGGCTTTGCTATTCAAAGTGACAGCATCCTGCCCAATCTCAGGCCCCACCCCAGACCTACCAAATCAGAATCTGCATTTTAATAAGGTGCCCAAGGACTCGCATGCATAGTAAAGTGTGAGAAACATTGGTCTACCAGGCACCTTACACAATCCACAATTCTCATTCTGTCCTGGGGAACAGTTTTCCCTCGTCCCACTCTGCCTAGCAAATGTGGCAGTGGCCGCCCTGTTTATCAGAACCACCCAGAAACGGTGCTCTATCGACAAAAACTGTGTGTGTGGTTTTAATAAATCCTAACGTTTTCTTTCTACTTCTCTGATTCACAGTTGACTGGAATTATCCTAAGAGCAGCCAAGAGGTTCCAAATCAACGTTTATGTCAAAAAATTAGATGACTTTATGTAAGTTTTGCTTGTTTCTGCAGAGGCAGAGGGTGGTTTTGCTACATTGACTTTCTGGTGGGGTTGATGTCGAGAGGGGTACCGCCCACTTCTAAGTCTGTTCACCCTGGCCTTCAGGGATGAGGCACGATCAGCATTGTCATGGGCAGCCTTGGTCTTGGAAGTTAATTATTTTACTTAACCAAACACTTATAGAATGTTTTCCATGGACCAGCCATTATTCTAAGTAGTTTACACACATTAACTCATTTGTTCCTCACAATAACCCTGTATTACCCCCTTTTACAGATGAGGAAACTGAGGCCCAGAGTCTACTCTTACCCACTCTGCTAAGCATTTCCCTCACCAGGATTCTGGCTGCCTCCCTCCCTCCCTTTCTTTCCACTGCTCCCACCCAGGCCAGCCACAAACCCTCCCGTGGATGGTTAAATACTCTCTGGAGTCCAGTGTACCCACACTCCTTCTACTTAATTAGGATTCTCGAGTATAATCTCCTGCTCAGACTTTTCAGTGGAAATTGAGAAAATGATTTCATTCAATGTTGAATGAAAAAGCAGAATGCAAAACTGTAATACATATCTATAATATATCTATATTTATCTAATCTTTCTGTCGCCTATCTATCATTCAAACTTGGTTGGCTCCCCCCATAAAATTTGCCAGGCTTAAGCACATGTGTTTGGGATCTTTCTAGAAAGCAAATGTGATTTGTAAGGATGCATTTTGTGTATTTCTGAGGGAGTATAATTTAGTAGTTACAATCTAGAGCCTTAGAATCAAAGTGAAATTCCAATCCTAGCTCCACCACTTCCTCATGGCGGTCCTGGGCAAATTACTCCCAGCCACCATCTCCTTGTCTTAAACCTGGGACAGTAATACCTACTGCATTGGGACTACCATGAGAATTAAGTGAGATAATGTTCCCAAGACACCTGGTACAGAGCTGGTACATAGTAAATGCTCAGTAAGTGATTGCTCCAGGCTCTTGTAAAGACAATACTGAGTAGCCTAATTATAAAACATTCTGAGGAATGACAGCATTGTTCTGCTGGAGCCTCCCCTCCAATAACTCTTGGGAGTATGGTAATCATTTTGATGAATTTACTTTTGGCATCTTGTGTTTTGGTTAAACACACTTTACATAAATGTGCAACACTTTGAATTGCTAGACTGTTTGTGATCTAACTGCTGATTATTAGGTGTTTGCAGATATAATAAGAGGTCTGCATAAATTCCAGGTAATTTAATGAAATAACTGGGCTGGCATTTTCATATAAACTTGTCTCGCCAGGCCAGTGTGCCATCCTAATGAGGATGTCTATAAAATAGTCTCTTTTTTTGTGTTTGTAGTGAAACGGGAAATATTAGAACCCTGGTTTTCCCAGTGATGTATATCAATGAGGTAAGTCCTGGGAGGTAGCCACAGGTACGTTTTACCTGTGGAAGCTTGGGGAACTTCCTACTTCTGCGATTGTAGCTATGTGTAATTTAAGATGTGAGAAAGGGGCAAAGGTGATTTTTTTTTTTTTGCGGTACGCGGGCCTCTCACCGCTGTGGCCTCTCCCGTTGCGGAGCACAGACTCCGGACGCATAGGCTTAGCGGCCATGGCTCACGGGCCCAGCCGCTCCGCGGCATGTGGGATCTTCCCAGACCGGGGCACGAACCCACGTCCCCTGCATCGGCAGGCGGACTCTTAACCACTGTGCCACCAGGGAAGCCCAAGGTGATTTTTAAAAACCTGTTTGTCCTCAGAAAATTTCTGTTTATATGTTTACATGAATCTTCCTGTGTCTGAGATTTGAAAACGACAGAAAGAAATTTCCCTTGTCAAGAACATTATTTGGGTGAAACTTCTTTCTGGGAAACTGGTTATGTAAGAAACAAAATGCAAAGGTAATTAGTTTACCGTTCATTAGTTGAGGAGAAAAAGAATAAAAAAGAGCGTGGGGTGCTTGAGAAATTATTAAATAAAATGTGATACATGCCCATTAATTGCAGTGATACGTGGGTGCCTTATCCTTCATCATAGCGTAGAGTCTTTTCTACTTTCTGGTTCCTGTCTTAGTTCAAACAAGAGGAGTTTCTCTTGAGAAATATTTCTTTCACAGTGTACCCACAGAAATGTTATCCCTAATTGTTAGGCATAAATTGAAGTTCTGTAAAGCATATTCTGAAAGCTCATAAAACATCCACTATTTTAGACGCCTGTGATAAGTTCTTTTCTGAATCACATATCACATTTACTGTAGTTATATCTCCTCAATTTCCCTTCTCTCTTTCACCCAGTTTTGAGGGGAAACTTGCAGAATTTTCCCCCTCAAATTCATGATCGGCTGGCTTCCATTGTTAACAGCAACAGTTGTTAAAGTTTCATGATTTTTCTCTCTTCCCTAAAAATATTTGTTCTTTGTAGAAGATTTAGTAACGAAGATTAGCAAGGAAAGGGAAAGTTCAAATGACTTCTCACAAAACCTGAGGCAGACTGATAAATTGTTTTTTTTTTAATTAATTAATTAGTTTATTTTTGTCTGTGTTGGGTCTTATTTGCTGCACAGGCTTTCTCTAGTGGCAGTGAGAGGGGGCTACTCTTCATTGCGGTGCGCGGGCCTCTCATTGCAGTGGCCTCTCTTGTTGTGGAGCACGGGCTCTAGGTGCACCGGCTTCAGTAGTTGTGGCTCACGGGCTCCAGAGCGGAGGCTCAAAAGTTGTGGCACACGGGCTTAGTTGCTCCGCGGCATGTGATCTTCCCGGACCAGGGCTCGAACCTGTGTCCCCTGCACTGGCAGGTGGATTCTTAACCACTGAGCCACCAGGGAAGCCCCTGATAAATTGTTTTTAACTTGCTTTATTTTCCTCAGCAATATATTGTAAAATTTCTTTTCCAAAACAACTTTGTAAAAAATAATTTGATGTTTCACATTTTGTAAAAGTAACGTGCTCTTTATAGAACTCAGGAGATTAAAAATAGTATTTAAAAAGTGAACTGCTTGATAAGCAAGCCCATCCCTCACAGAAAAGTGCAATTGAAATCTGCTTATGTTGCCTCAGTATTTTTCTGGTTTTGATATTACATAGTTGAGACCATACGGTAGATACAGTTTTATATCCTTTTTCAACTTAGCATTGTATTGGTAGCCACATTGATAAACTTTTGAAGGGTTTGTGATTACAGTTCTAAGACAAGGCTTTTATTGTTTCATAGGAAGAATTCAGGCAATATTTACCATTTATAGGACCTATTTGCAGTTGCTCCTGGGTCATTACGGTTATTGTTTGTGGGGAGAGCCATGGAAGGAGGGCTTTTTGAAAGTGTGGAAGGGCCCTGTTCTGCCAGCTTACATTCATTGTTGCATCATATTTGAAGTCCCCTCCACCTTAACCTCTGCTTTGACTTTTTGTTATAGATTGAGTCCAGGGAATGATGGAGTGAAACCTCGTGCTTTTACTCCCTCCCAGAAAGAACTTGACTTTTCTCTTCTCTAGAAAAGGAAAACATTAGACCTGGAAGTGACCTTGGAGACTGCTCTCCCACCCCTTTCCTTCCAGAGGTGGAGACTCTGACCATGATGGGCCTTCATCTGCAAATTGAGCCTAAATTAAGCCCAAAGTCCCGGTTGTTGCTAATAATTTTTATAGAATTAAGCTCTTCAGATACCTCACAGTTTAAGGTGATAATACTTTTGCCCTTAGTTATCTGGAATTCTGGTTAGCCTCAAGACTTCCCTGAACACTTTCTGTCTAGACCTCTGGTCCCGATCAGTATAGATCCAACCAAGAGAGAAATGATGCTTTCCACATGCCATTGTTGGAATATTGCATTCATTCATTCATTCATTAATCTAATCAAGCGACATTAATTGAGCACCTACTGTGTTTCAGGCGCTATACCCAGTGTTTAGTTGACTGAAATAAAAGTCTTGCCTTCAGGAACCTCACAGTCAGGAGGAGACAAACAAGTAAACAGACAGTTATAATGCAGAATGTGGAGACAGTGATGGAAGATTTTAGAATGTGAGATGGAAGCGCAGAAAAGGGGCCTTGAACCAGGCCAAAGGAGACTTCTGGAAGGAAGTTATGCTGAGTTGGATTTTGAAGGGTGACATGGAGTTATCTGATACAAAAGAAAAGCTGATATTATCTCAGTATTTCTGAATACTTTCCCCCTCCTTTTTCCCACCAATTTTGAGTAAAACATGTCTTCAGGAGAAAAGAGACATCAATGAATAAGTGCCCCCTCTGGTTATTCTGACTTATAAAAGGATTTTCAGTATCTCTGGTTTGCTAACAGGAGGACATACCCAAATTGTGTTTAATGGTTTGGAGGAAAGATAGAGCAAAAAACTTTACACCCTGGATATTCAGTAATCAAGGGAATACTATTTTCTTGCTCCTCCTCGCAGAGTGTTCTCATTGATAAAGAGACTGCAAGTCGACTGAAGTCTGTGATTAACACCACTCTGATCATCACCAACATACCCTACATTATCATGGCGCTGGGTGTGTTCTTTGGTCTGATCTTCACCTGGCTTGCGTGCAGAGGACAGGGATCCATGGATGAGGTGAGCAGTGGCTGGAGGAATGTCTCCCTTACTGAATAACGTTCCCTGAGGACTTCAGCTGTGCTTCACTGAAGGGCTGTCAGAGGGCTTATTAGGGTGGATTCTGAGGTTTTATGCTGGGCACAGTGATTTGATGGTTATATTACTGCTGGGCCAAATGAGAGGCAAGGGAAGTGTGTCAAGGTGGAGGGGTGATAGAATGGTATTTCCCAGTATTTCAGGCTTTCTTGGTAGGAATGGAACCCCTGGGAGAAAGCATTATGTCTTTGCAAATAACCTGAAAAAAAGAGGAAGAATATAAAACAGCTAGGCACCCGGGCTTTCCTGTCAGACTGCCCAGGTTCAAATCCCAGTTTGGCCACTTAATAGCTGTGTGACCCCAGAAACTGTGCCTTGTTTTCTCTGTCTGTAAAATGGGATGATAATTGAGCCTCGCTTAGGAGTTTTTTGTGAGGATTTGATGATATTTTAAACATAAAGCACTTGGCCCAGTGTAAGCATTTAGTAAGAGCTCAATAAATATTAGATATATGACAAAATAGCTCCATAATTATAGAGCAAGGCAGCCAGAAATCTGCTTGGAAAGAATCCCTGGTTTATCAGAAGATACCTACCACTGAGTCGTCATTGCATAATAAATGATGGGCACAGGGGAGTAGTTCCTCTCCTGGAGGGGTGGGAACAGCCCCAAACAGGTGGGATAAGTGGTTAGGTTGGCTTCCCTAAGTGACCAGCAGGCCAACCCAGGGGTCTTAACACCTTCAATGAGCCCTTCTTAAATTCTCACCAGCCTCTCTGTTTGCAACAAAGGCTTTTTTTTCCCCTCTCTTCACTGCCTCCATTATGTATGAGGCAAATGTGACGTAGGAAATGAAATAGGCTGAAACCATCTAAATCCTATAAGCTCAGATTTCCCTGTCTTCTGCGTGCTTCCAGTATGCCTTTCAACCCATGCCCATCACATTAGCGTGAATTAGGTGTGAGACAACGATTTTTCCATTTCTATCTATGGATTGATCTTACAGTCAATGTAAGATGGATTGTACTGTCACTGAGCTTTTCATAGGCACAGATGAAAGCCCACGTAAATATTATGACTGTTCCTACAATTAGCCGTCTTCACATATCCAACAAGCAAGCATTACTGAGCACCCATCACCTATGACACATTGTTCTCTGATGGGCCTCCAACTGAAGGAGAGAAATTCAATAGGGTGTGATGAGAATTATGGTCCAGGTCAACACAAGGAGAAAGGTTCTGGTCCAGTGTCAGGGTAGAGGTGTCAGAGCAGGCCCCCTGGAGAGGATTAGGGCTGAATGTTAAAGAAACAGCAAGAGGAAGCAGGCCAAGAGAAGAGAAGGTGATTGGGATGACAGTCTTCCCATCAGTTTCCCCTCCTTGCACCCCTCTCTCCACTTTTCACATCTGGGGAGAAGTTGGTCACGTGATCTCCTAACCTCACTGTCATCTCTCACCTGGTCTCAGGGAACTGCAGACGAAAGAGCACCCCTCATACGAACCTAAGCTAACCATGGGCTGCGCCTGAGGAAGGAAGCGTGCGAGCTGTCGTGACCTGGACCACGACAGTGGGGCAACTGTCTGCATCCTCACAGGCTTGTCAACTGGTGCGAGAGGGAGGAGACCCCGTGCCTGCGTGTGTTCAGCACCTTCTGGCAGAGGTTCAAGAACAGGCTGACCTGGTTGGCCATTAGGATCCTGTGGTCCCTGACAAGTTGTTTTTCATGTGTCTAGCAAGTATTTAATAAACTCTGGTATAGTAATTTTTTTGTTGTTGGGTGCTGGTAGCTCCAGAATTTTGTGACCACTGTCGTGGTTATAATGTCTGTGCATCACTTGTTAACACTACTTGGTCTAACCTTATTCACTACTCTTCATTCACCAAACTTTGTGCTCAAAATACATAAATACTATTTGATGTTGTATTCCTCCATTCATTTC